ACAGAAGTAGATTGCTTCATCTTCCCCTCATGGAGCACCTGATGGTTTGAATTGCCTTACCTAGTATGCCACAACAGCTCCTTATTTGACATATATAGTTAGGTTTGTTTCTATTTGTATTTAATTCTAGGTAGGGGTTTTCAACTAATTTGTGTTGATTTATTTTATTTTTGAATAAAAATGGTATGCATAGGAGTACATTCTTTCCTATCTCTTCTACAGCACTCTCACTTACTACTTGCAGGTAGTGTATATGTAAACCTTAGTTTGAGGTTTATCATTCCTATTTTTTTCTTTTTGCAGACACATATTCTTATTTATCCTTTCCTGCACATCAGCTACCATTAACATATACATTATTTAGCATATTTCTGTTTTACTGTTGCTTTTTCTCAAAATCTCTTATGTGTGGCTACTTAAATTGTCTCTGTTATTGTTAGTTGTTGTTATGTGCCGTCAAGTTGGACCTGACTCATAGCGACCCCTCCTTGGGTTTCCGAGGCAATATCACTAAGGAAGTAGATTGCCCCATCTTCCTTCCGAGGAGTGGCTGGTGGGTTTGAACCACCAGCCTTCTGGGTAGCAGTCAAGTGCCTTAGGTACTATGCTGCCAGAGCTCCTTTCTAAATTGTCTCTAGTAACATATTATTTATTTCAAGTAATACCACCGTAAGTTACTTGTGCATGTAGTTTTTTGTATTGTTGGAATCATACCTTCAGGGTTAGTTCCTAGAAGATGATTTCTGGATCGGGAGATAAATATATAATAGTCTGGGTAGATATTGCAAAACTACCCTTCCATAGAGGTTGTGCAATTTTGCACTCCTACCAGCAATGTATGGACATGTTCGTTTCCCACAATGACACCACCAGAGTGTGTTGTCAAGCTTTTGAGATATGCCAGTTTGGGATGAGAAATTACATTTCAGTATAGCTTTAATTTATGCTTTCTTATTCTGACACTAAGCATGTTTTCATTTGTTTAAGGGTATTTTACATATATATATTTTGTGAAATGTCTTCTTAAAATTTTTGCCCATTTTTCTAACAGCCATTTTTCTAACTGGCTTCAGTTTCTTCAGTTTTTGAGTTCTTTTTACATTAAGGATATTATCTTTTGTATTTATGATAATGTTGAAAATATTTTCTATTTTTTCATTTGGATTAACTTCTGATGTGTTTTACTGTGCAGATTGTTTTCTTTTACTGCAGTTGGGTTTTCTACTATGTTTATGAACAACCACTTGCCATCCAGTTGATTCCATCTCATGGTGACCCCATAGGTGCAGAGTAGAACTGCGCTTCACAGAATTTTCAAGACCAAACATTTAAGAAGCAGATAGCCAGGTCTTTCTTATGAGGCACTTCTGGGTGAGTTTGTACCACCAACCTTTCAGTTAGTAGTCTGTAGCACCTATTTACACCACCCAGTAACTCACTTATGTTTATGAGACAGGCCTTATGTGCAAGGTTAGGCTTATCAATATATAAAGATCATGATGTTTTGTTCTGTGTGGACTTTGGATTTAAGAGAGGAACCTACCCGTTTCTTATCACAAGTTTTTTTTTGTTGTTGTTGTTAGTGACCCCTCCCCTTCTTGGGTTTCCAAGGCAGTATCACTGCAGAAGTAGATTGCCTAACCTTCCTCCTGAGGAGTGGCTGGTAGGTTTGAACCACCTGCCTTCTGGTTAGCAGTCAAGTGCCTTAGGCACTAGGCTACCAGAGCTCCTTATCACAGAGTGGTTGTTGTTGTTGTTATATGCCATCGAGTCGGCCCCCACTCATAGTGATGGCAGTATCACTACAGAAGTAGGATTGCCCAACCTTCCTTCCGTGGAGTGGCTGGTGGGTTTGAACCACCAGCCTTCTGGTTAGCAGTCAAGTGCCTTAGACACTATGCTACCAGAGCTCCGTATCACAGAGTAGAGATGGAGAAAAGGATACTAGCAGGGATCACTTTTCTGTAAGTAGATCTTTATTCCCCCATTTTCTTTTCTGCCCATTGATACGCATGGTGCTGACCTTAGGGTCTTAATCTTTAGTTCTTCTTTTCCCCACAGTAAAACTTCCATTCTCCTGCGCTAGTTGGGATAGGATAGTTGCTTGTCTGTCTTGGGGTGCAACCTGAAGATCTGTTTCTTACTCAAATCTTTTTAGCCAATCCAGGTTTAGCCTCATGTTTCATCCTTCTCTTGGGGAGTGAATGGAACTATATTCCTGAATCATTTGAGATTTAGATTGGCTGGCTTCTGCTGGCATGTATCTCTTTTCCCAGTTTTGTTAATTCCTTCATCTGCTTTCTTCCTTCTCCTCTGTGTGGTCTCCTCTTAAATCCTTTATTTTCATTTTAATGAGTTTTAGGAGGAAGGAGAGACACATGTATTTAGTTCATTGTATTTAACTAGAAATCCAGGTGGTTCTTTATGCGTCGTGTTTTTTCTCCTTAGACTTTACTCTGTAGGAGGTTGGATGGCTCCCAGTGAAGCTTTAAGTTCACAGCAGGGCTTCAAACCGGTTCATTCTAGTTTTACCCCTGCTGAGAATCTGTATTTCCACCTTATATACTGGATCATAATCTGCATTTTAACAAATTCCCAAGTGCTTCTTATAGACTCTTATTGTAACTGGGTGAATATGTAAATTATCAGCAGTGGGTCAAACCTGTGTTAAGCTTTGGTTCACAGTACTGCACTTCTGTTTGATAATGTAGGATTTATATGCCAGTACTCAGCTAATTCTCATCAGTAGCCAAACAATCATTTGCCTCTTGCCTTCTTTTATGCCTTGCTTGGCAACTTCAAAAAGGAGCTCTGGTGGTGCTGTGGTTAAAGCACTCGACCGCTAATCAACAGTCAGCCATTTGAACCTATCAGCAGCTCTGCGGGAGAAAGGCTAGGCTGTTTGCTTCCGTAAAAGATTACCAACCAGCGTTGGAAACCCTATGGGGGCAGTTCTACTCTGTCTGTAGGTCCCTGTAAGTTGTAATTGACTCGAAGGCAGGGGGTTTGCTTTAGTGTAGCAACTTCAAGGATGCTTATTAAGTTGACAAGTCCAGGGACAGTGAAAATACAAATGACATATCTCACGATTCCTCTTTTCTTGCTGCTCTCTGTCACTTTGTGTGGAATTGGTACCCAAGAATTTTTAATATTCCAGGGAATGGATTGTTGATCTCTGTTAGTTGGATGCTGCTTCGGATTCTCTGTCTTTTCTCCTATTGGTCCCTGTTTGACTTTGTTTGTTATACTCTGGGGGCCATTGCTACTTTGTTGTTTCATTTTAAATGAGTCTTTTGTCCCTCTTTTTTCTTTTTCATTATAATGAATTTCAAGAAGAAGTAAACATTTTTGTTACTTTTTTAAAAGATATGTTTAACACAGGTTAAGAGCAGTGTTAAAATCATATTTATCATTTAGGAGATTTAATACTTGAAAGAGTATCATGCCAAAAACTTAATCCCAATTCACAAGGTTCTGCATGAGGTACGTTTGCAGTCTGACTCATTTGGTTGCAGCAAGTTTCACGTCATGACAGAGGGAGAGGAGTCTCTGAAAAGACCCACAGTTACTGGAATTAGAGAGCTTCCAGAATCTGAGGAAGCTTGAGGGGACTGATTTTTTCCTACTACCCTTCTTATTAGCCATTGTGTTTCACGGAGCTTCCGTTTCTTTCTGCACATCCACTCCAAGAGCTTCATGTGGACCACTCCCCCCTCTGCTTGCCCATAATTTCTCTTCCCTCACAAGTTCAGTTTATACAGGACTGGTCATGGGATTTCCAGTGTCTGTTTCTTACCTTTCTGCTTCAGCTCTTTACTGCTGACCATTGTAGTCTCTTCTTGTTTCTTAGGATTATTTCCAAGAAAAACTGACAGGCCTAACTTATCTTTTAGTGCCACTTGTGATTTGTCCCTCTCCAAGCTATAAATTGGCTGCATTTGGATCAGATGCCCAGCACTACTCAAGCAGATTAGGGAAAGGGCAGTGGGGCAGCAGGGAAACATAGTATATATGTCATGCATCAAGGAAACATGCATGGGTAGGATGGTTCCCCTTAGCAAGTGGGAGGGCAGGACAGAGTTGAATATTTTCCACTTTATTTATTTTTGGTAGTGAAGTATATGTAACAAAACATTTGCCATTTCATCCATTTTATGCATGGAATTCAGTGACATTAGTTAATAATGTTCCTCTAGTTATGTAGCCATTACCACTATCTGTTTCTAAATTTTCTTCATCATTCTTAGCAGAACCAGTTTATTTTCCATGGAGGACATTGTGAAAACATTTAGTAGTACAGATTGAATATTGTAGGAAACTAGCTGATAACTGAGTGTTAAAATTGACTACAAAAATTCACCCTGGTTTGAGGCTGTTTCATATTTGCATTGTGCCTTTAGTAGCATGGTGTGGCACAAAGACCACTGAACTAGAAATCAGGAGTCCTAAAACTTAGACCTGTGCTGCTGTTTTGAAAAGTTTCACTTTCCTAATCAGATAAATTATTAAAAGGTTGATAAGGTGGAATAAATCCTAAGGTTCCATCTAGCTATAACATTTTATAGCTCAATATGTATTGTACTAAGCATAGGAAAGCTACTAAGAATGAGAAAGGTAATTTAACCACAGAGTGGTAAGAATCCAAAGTTATTATAACATGAAATCCTAAGTGTAGGTTAATAGAAAATATTAGAAATAAGAGAATGATTGATTGGACCTATACTGTAGAAATAGATGTAGAAGTTTTATAGTGGACTACATGCTCCTCATTTGAACATGTTTATTTAAAGATGGGATGATGAATAGTCGTCTTGTTTTGAGATAAGACAGATATTAAAGTTTCAAGCTCTTTTCCCAACTTCAGTTTTATATAAGTAGTGTACTGCATTACTGTAAGTGTAATATTGGAGTTGAAATGCATTTGGTCTTCCATACTTTTTTAAAAATCATAGCCAGATAATCAGTATAGTCAAATAACTTGGGTTTCTTTTGCTTTTTAGGATTTAAGTGCCCTGTGTGCTCAAAATTTGTCCCCTCAGATGAAATGGACTTGCATCTTGTGATGTGTTTAACAAAACCAAGAATAACCTATAATGGTAAGTGCAGTGCTTTAAAATAATATTTTTAATTAGACATACCTTACAGTGTATGGAATTCATATTTTAAGTAAAATTTAAAAAGCAGGAAGGACCTTGTTTTTTTGTCTGCCTTTACTAATCCATTAAAGCAGTGGTTCTCAGATTTCTTGGTCTCAGGACTCCTTTCTAAACCCCAAACTCACAGTCATTGAGTCAGTTCTAACTCATAGCAACCCCCATTGGGTTCCTGAGGTGGTAAATCTTTATGGAAGTAGATTGCCCCATCTTCCTTCCTCAGAGCAGGTGGTGGGTTTGAACCACCAACCTTCTGGTTAGCAGTCAAATGCCTTAGGCACTGTACCACGAGAGCTGCTTCAGGACCTTTTTATACTCTTAAAAGTGATTGATGACTTCAAAGAGCTCTTGTGAGTTGTATCTGTTATGTGCCATGTTAGAAATTAAAAACAGAATTTATTAATTGAATTAAAGATAACAGTAATAAACCCATTATAGGCTGATGAGATTTTTAAATGAAAAACTAACTTTATTTTTTTAGGCAAAAGTATTTTGTGAGAAGAGCAATGATTTACATTTTTTGCAAACTCTTAATAGCTGGCTTGATAGATGACAAAGAATTCTCCTATCTTTTGTATTCAGTCTGTTCTGATATGACATGTTCTATATCCTGTGGAAAAGTCTATAGTATATTTGAGAGAATGGAATAAGGGAGACTGATAATGTCTTAGTATTAGTATGAAAATAGTTTTTACCTTGTAATACTAAAAGAATCTCAAAAACTCCCCTTTTTTCTTTGCTCCACAAGATTCCTTGGACCTCACTTTGAGAACTGCTGCATTAAAATTAAATCTCTTCTAGGTCAGGCCTAAGTAAAAAGTAATGTTAATAATGGCCATTTTTAAAAATAAGTATACACGGTGGAAGTGGCAACTCTTTTTATTTTGCTTAAGAGTATATAGAAATGAAAGATACACATTTAAGAGTAGAGAAGATAAAAAAAATTTATTCAATACATAGAGTAAATAAAAAGGTAAGAGGAAAGAAAGAATGGCATGAAGAGAGTTCAGAACCTCTGCTGTGCATATCTGTCTCTCTCTCCTTTCCATAGACAAAAATTTTCAGTCCATGAGTCCTGGAACTAACTGGTTGTGCCATTCATTCCTGACCAAAATTTCTGAATACTCAAGACCCTAGGAGAGATTTTTAAGTCTTGGCACACTTTTGAATAGACTTGGGAAAGAAAGAAAGAAAAAATATGTGTGTGTGTGTGTTATAGGCGCTGGAGTGGTGTAGTGCCTAAGGCATTTGACTACTAACCAGAAGGCTGGCGGTTCAAACCCACCAGCCACTCCTTGGAAGGAAGGTGGAGCAATCTACTTCTGTAGTGATAACGCCTTAGAAACCCAAGGAGGGATCACTATGGGTCAGGACCGACTTGACAACAGTGAGTGTGGTTTGGTGTGTGTGTGTATTTTCCTGGTTTAGCAGTCAAATGCCTTAGGCACTGTGCCACCAGAGCTTCTATATATGTATAGCGAGACACACACACACACACACACACACACAGAGTTCTTAGCTGCCTTTTGTACCAGAATAAAGGAAAATTGAACTTTCTTTTCAAAATTTCAGATACAAAATTTGTTTTGCTAGAATGAGTAGAAAAAGTACTAGGAAACAGTGAAGGCAATTAATGGAAAGATTCTTCCTCTTTTAACAAGTATCTTTTGAGCACTTAATTCCAGATACTGTGTTAGAAAGTCTCAAAACCAAACTCACTGCATCAAATCGATTCCAACTCATAGTGATCCCCATTGGATTTCCAAGGCTGTAAATCTTTATGGAAACATATTGTCTCATCTTTCTTTTGTGGAGTAGCTGGTGGGTTCAAACCACTGACCTTTTTGTTAGCAGCCAGATGCTGTAACCACTATACCACCAGAGCTTCTTATATTAGAAACTAGAGACATGCAGTGATAAAGTAAGAGATGGAGATTATAGCCTGCTGATACCCACTGATTTCTCTGGTTAATTTATTAACTAAAGGCATTAAATGAAAAATGTAGTAAGTGTAGTACTTTGTTAACTTAATCTGAGATTTCTCCTCAGGTAACATTGCTGAAGTTGTGTAAACTTTAACATTGAAATGAGCATGCCACTATCAGTAGCATTTTTGCAGATTGAGTTAGAATTTGCTCTTTTTTTCTCTTTTAAGAAAGAGGTAGTGCTTCAGCCTCACAATCCTAGTGGTGACTGTATAGCACTTTCCACCATTCATTTGCCAATATCCATAAGTGGTTTTTAGTAATTACTTTGAATAGTAAATGTACTAGTTGATGAGATCCAAACCTTCTGCATTTTAGAATTGAAATGGCTGTTTTGTATGATCTAGTTGAAATTCATACTCAAGAAATAAAAAAGCTTTCTCATTCAAATTCAGAATTTAAGGCTCAAAAGTATGTAGGCTTGTCTACCATACTTGCTTCATTATCTTATCATTACCCTCCACAGTTATTTCTATCTAATGTAAGTGTCTTGAAAATAAATATCCTTAAATTTTGAGCCTCTGCTTTTGAGTTTAAAAAGCACAAATATATTTATATACACCTACTCCTCACTTAACTCTTCCATTGTCTGGCATTTTGCATTTATAACAATAAAAAAAATGTACTTTCCAGTGAAAAATCTCCTGTGGCTGGTGTGGACACTGGAGGCAAGGGTGGGAGTTGGTGCTGGGGGACCAGGTGGAAGGAGCTAGGCAAGGGTAGGGTTAGTGGGCACTGAGGGCAACACTATATGGAGAAGTGGGTCTGTGTAGCCTCAGGAGCAAATGAGTACACTGGGTTGGTCAGGCTAGGGGCTCCCAGTGGGGTGCACAAGTGGGGTCCTGTGGGCTCAGCTCTGTGCTCTGGAGGAGCAGAGCAGCAGCCATAACAGGTTAGTATTCTCAGCTGGGTCCTTCATCGGATCTGTAGGCTGACACTCAGCATGGAGTAGCAGGGCAGGGTGTGTCCAGCTGTGCAGGAGGAGGACAAAATAAGTATGGGGGTGCAGGAGAGCAGTAGCCATGGCCATAAGCCCAGTCTGAGGGTAGTGTGGGGACTACCAGAATGAGTGAAGTGGAAGCACCTGCCACTGTGGATAGGCTCTGCGGCCTGACCTGTGGTGCAGGAGGAGGGCCTAAAGCCTGCAAGTAGCACCAAGAGAAGTGAGGAGGCAGCCTCATGATGCAGCAGCATGCGGGGATGGAGTGTGGGGAGAAAGCAACAGGCTGCAGCAGCTATTTGCATACAGGGGTGGCTCCTGGGAGCGGCCCCTGCGTGTCAGAGAGCCTTTAGCTGTTATAGTGAGCTGGTAGGGAGATCCCTGCCCATTAGGCCTGGGACCTGCGGGGTTGGGGCACCCAGGGGTGCAAGAAGCAAATTGGCTGTCCAAGGTTTAGGGGGAACAGGTGGTTCTGGCTGTTTAGGAAACATAGCTGAAGAGGAGGGGGTCCTAGGAAGGTTACGTAACCCCTCTAGGGTCATAGGACTCAGAAGTGCAGGTGGATGGGGAGGTGGTAACTCCAGGGCAGAGGGGAGGACATGATTTGGGATCAGGGGAGCAGAAGAGTACTGTAAACTGGGGAGAATTGGAAGCCACTGCCCAACGGCAGACTGAGTGGCCTGCAAGATCTGCTGCTGCCTCTGCCTCTGACCTTCATTGAAGCTGTATCTGCAGGAAGCCTGCTGAAGGCAATAGGAAAGGAAGTTGTGTAATTTTCACATAATGACATGGTCTTTGGAACCTAACCATGTCGACACGTGAGGATTGGGTGGAATCTTTTTATGTGTTGTGTTGACAGTTTTTTATTTCCTGATTTAACTATGCTCACGTCATTAAACTTTCCTATTAGATCACTTGTTTAGTGTCTTAAAGAACTAGTATGTTGGAAAGCCAATTTGCTCTGTAAACTTTGACCCAAATCATAATAAAAAGTTATAAATTAAAATAAAATAAAAACCAATATGTTACCTCCTACTTGGGGATTCAGGTTTTAAATATGTTGTTACAGTATTGCAATTCAGAAATTAGTAAAATTTGTACAAAAACTGAAGAGGAAAAACAACTTCTTCATTAAAATTACACATAATTTTTAAAGTATCAAAACATTTTTAACCCTTACAAGCCAACCATACTTAATGCCGTCGAGTCAGATCTGACTCCTAGTGACCTCTCCTTGGATTTCCCAGGCGGTATGTCTACGGAAGTATATTGCCCAACCTTCTTCTTTTGAGGAGTGGCTGGTGGATTTGAACTGCCAACCTGCTGGTTAGCAGTCAGATGCCTTAGACACTATGCCACCAGAGCTTCCGTTTTAACCCTTAGGCAGTGGCCAAATATAGTATAACAGAAGATGAAGAAAAGAGCTTTTAGTTGACTGACATGGAAATGTTAGAGAGGTGGTAGATTGGTAATGGGATTCTCTATCAATAGGCCAGGGGAATTCTAGCAGCACTCCGTTCCTTGAAGGCAGAGCCCCTAAAATGTCATCTCTGTGAAAATTAGCTTCTTTAATGCCTAAGCACAGCATCTAGGATTATTATAGTTTTGAACAAAGTGAGTTAGAGAATTTGAAACAGAATCTTTTTAGTCACCTGGGCTCCTCATAACATCTTATTTGCATTCTTAGAAGTTGGGTTTCCAGACAGAGTTATGAAACAGAGAGATGGGCCTTTAACTTGTGTTATTGCTCAAACAAGAAAAATATTTTCCCAGCATATGGGTTATCATACCTTTTATAGCCTTTCTTAAAAGTAGGTAGATGTGAAATTGTTACGTACATTGAATTAACTGCCTATAAACATTCAGGGGGCTCTGGTAGCGTAGTGCTTAAGGCCCTTGACTACTAACCAGAAGGCTGGCAGTTCAAACCCACCAGCCACTACTAAGAAGAAAGATGGGGCAATCTACTTCCGTTGTGATACTGCCTTGGAAACCCAAGGAGGGGTTGCTATGAGTCG